GGCTGCTTTAACATTAAGCTACATTTCAAGCCCTTTTTAATTTTTATTTTGAAACAGGATTTCACTAACTTACTTAGGGTTTTACTAAAGTGCTGAGGTTGGCCTTGAACTTGCAATCCTCCTGCCTTAGCTTCCAGAGTCATTGATATTATAGGCATGCGCCACAGCACCTGGCATAAGATCTGGTCTTTATCTTCACAATACAATGGAAGAAATAGCTTTTAAGTGTGTAGTTATGATCTAACATAGTTTTAAGTAGAGTTTTGGGGGCAAAGAGCAAACCCTGATCTGCTCATTGTGATGGAAAAAACATAGTCCTTCATGTCTCTTTTTTCAGAGCTATCTATTTCAGCTGCTTCAGGGCCTAGCTTTCTGCCATTCTCATCGGGTCCTGCACCGAGACCTTAAACCTCAGAATCTGCTTATCAATGCAGAGGGGGCCATCAAACTAGCAGACTTTGGATTAGCCAGAGCCTTTGGAGTCCCTGTTCGTACATATACCCATGAGGTAAGTCCCTCTACACATTTCCTCTCTGATCATCCTGGGAAGTATTAACAAGGGCATTCACAAAGTTACTAAAAATATGTGGCAAATAATTTCTCTCTTGGTAGATGGAAAGAATCTCTGACACCTTAAGTAGACCTTGGTATATACAGAAGTCATAATTTAGGCAAATTGGGCTTAGATTTTAAGCCAAAACGGCTAGATGGCATACTGTTAAAATTATGACCATTTGTCTCGAGTTTTTCAGGAAGGTCTCAAATAGGGGTTCAGAAAATGTGGTTCCTAGAGTAATGGACTAAGCTAACTCTGGGCTAAGAACTTGTGTGTAGTTGTTTCTATTAGAAGAAATCAAAAGGAGAGAAAGAAGCTACTTAGAGGCTGAGAGCAGAGTTTTGTTGAAGAGTTGAGTTGTGGGAATCTCCATGTCCCATAAACCATCCCTCTCCTTCCTATTCTTGTCCCCTAGGTGGTAACACTATGGTATCGGGCACCAGAAATCCTTCTGGGATGCAAATACTACTCCACAGCAGTGGACATCTGGAGCCTGGGCTGTATCTTTGCAGAGATGGTATGGAAGCTTGCCCAAGTTTCACCCCACCTACTCCTCCTCACATGCAATAACAACAGAATTATTTTTTGGCTCAGCACTATGGCCTTTTGTCACAGAGTTCACCAGATCAGCACCAGGGGCAGGATTTGGGGAGATAGGACTATTGCCCTTGATATCAAATACAAAGTTAGAATGTCCTCAGACAGACTTAGTATCTAGTATACATCTCTTATCACTGAAGTGAGCTAAATCATTTATGTGGTTGTTAAGCTGTTTTAGCTTTAGTCTGCATATATTTGGAAGAATGAGTTCCATTTAGTGCTTCCTTCTTTTGGCTTATATACCTTGTTGCTGAGGCTGGCTTCAAATTTGTGATCCTCCTGCCACAGCCTCCTGAGTGGCTGGGATTACAGGCATGTGCCACCACACCTGCCCTGTATACTTTCTTGTAGGGTGCCAAGAAGGTAGTGAAGCCAACTGTATTTATCTAAACCCTTCATTTAATTACAGACTTCAATCATGTCCCCCCTCAACCTCTGGCTTTTCAGATTGAAGGATCCTTGAGGCCCAGCCTTACATGGGCTCTTCCATTCTCTTTAATACAACAGTGGAGTAAGCTGAGTCTTCAAATCAGCAAAGACATTTTGTGGTCCTTTATCTGGGTTATAACTGGTGGCTTAGAGACCATTAGTCTATAAATAAATAAATATTATATATACACACACACACACACACATATATATATAAACATACATAATGTGCATTTATCCCCCAGTGCATTACCTTACAATTGCCCATATTCCTCTCTCAATTCATCAACAAATATTTGTTAAGCACCTAGTGTGTACCCAGCACCATGCTAAGTGCTGTGGGGAACACAGAAGAAATGGAAGACACAGTCTCTGCCCGCTGTGCTCCTATCTAGAAGTGGCTGCATCACAAGGAGGGGGGATGACCGCAGTGTCTACCCCACACCCCGTGAGTGGCTTGGGATCCCTTTGCTACACGTCAGTGGCACCCCAGACATTCACCCCCTCCCAGCCCCACCCAGCCTTGGGGATCTGCAAAGCCATGGTTGGGGGAAGGAAGGAGGGGGAAAGGAGACAGATGAAGGGACTTCATTGTCTCAGGCTCTGTGTGACCGACCCCATGAAAGGCCCTGGGGAGGGAGTCATGGGGCCCTGCTGACCTTCTACTGCCTGTGGGAACCTCCTTTGACGGGATAGTTTGACTGACACCATTGTGGGTCTTGGCTTTTCCTCTTTTCCCATTTTCAGGTGACCCGCAGGGCCCTATTCCCTGGAGATTCTGAGATTGACCAGCTTTTCCGGATTTTTCGGACTCTGGGGACTCCAGATGAGGTGGTTTGGCCAGGAGTTACTTCTATGCCTGATTATAAGCCTAGTTTCCCCAAATGGGCCCGGCAAGATTTTAGCAAAGTTGTACCTCCCCTGGATGAAGATGGACGAAGCTTGTTATCGGTAAGAATGGGGAGTGGGCACCACATTCATTCCCCAAGGGAAGGGCTTTTCTAGGGTGAAAGAAGGCTGACACTCTGACTGCTGGGCCTCAGCTTTTCCCTAGTCCTTTGCGTCCCTGTGTCAGCATGCTGGTTCATATATATGGGAGGAGGGAAATGAGAACCTGTGTAAAAGTAGTCTGGTTTCCTGATTTCTAAGAATGTGTTGCTGCCCACTTAGTCTAGTGTCACATCACTGAAGTCAGCATACATCTTTCCCTCTAGCAAATGCTGCACTACGACCCCAACAAGAGGATTTCAGCAAAAGCAGCTCTGGCTCACCCATTCTTCCAAGATGTGACCAAGCCAGTACCCCACCTTCGACTCTGATGTTCTTCCCCAAGCCCTCACCCCCAGTCTCACTCTGTCCTCCAGTGTGGGTTTGACCTGGCTTGACTCTGGGCTATTTGGACTCAGGTGGGCCCTCTCATCTTTTCTGGGTGCCTTAACACTTGCCTTCCCCTCTCATCCAACCAGCTCTGGGCATCCAGAGGTAGAGAGGAGGAATAAGTGAAAATGTAAAGAAGTTTCAGTATTAGATGCACTTAACTCAGCTTCTGCCACCCTTTCTCTCTTTTTTTAGTCATTGCTGAGGAGGGCTGGTTTTCAAAACAAAACAAAACTGACTGTTCTCTCCCCACATGGGGTTTGCCATCCCAATTTCCTGCGTTTGGGATGACCAGTTACCCCAGGCCTCCTGCTGCCACTGTTTTTGTAAGGACCAGAGGATAGCAGGAGGCAGAGTTGGAACGTTTGAGAACCAAGCAAAACAAAACCATGGGGAGGGATCTATTTTAAAGAATTAGGTTAAAAAATAGATCCAATCAGTTTATACCCTAGTTTTAGTGTTTCATCTTGCCTAACAGGCTGGGAAACTCAAGACAGAGCCCCATTGGGGAAGCAGAAGAAATGATTACCTATAGACCCCTTGTCTGCCCCTCCTAGGGGCCAAGAGGAGTCTGGGAGGCCCAGGGGACAGGGATTGTGCTGCACTCTGACCTGTTGCTTCACCATGGCCTTATGAGGCAGGTGAGATATTTGAATTTCTCTTTTCCTTTTATGATTTTAGTTCTTGCCAGGGATCTCTGCTCCCATCTTCTTTGGAAGTTGTCTCTTACCCCATAAGAGTGAAGTTAGGGTCTGGATTTCATTTGGAGAATGCTGGTACTTTTTCAAGGTTGTGCCTGAGTGGGGGCATTGGGAAAAAATTATTTCTTTAAAAGAAGGATGAACAATTATATTTATATATCAGGTTATAGTTGTGTTTTCTTTTTGTTTTGTTTTGTTTTTGTCTTTTGTCAGAGTGGCTGGATTTGTTGTCGTGTGCACCTTGGGGTTTTGTAATTTTAATGTTTAAAAAAAGTACTTTTTCTTTTTATGATTTTGTCTCTCATCTCCCACCCTGTCCTTGAGTGCTCTTTCTCTATTAACATTATTTGTAATTTAGTTTGTAATTCATTAAAAGAAATGTTCCTAGTTTTATAGTTCATCTTCTTCCTCTTTAAGATTTATTATTTACTTAAAGAATGGTGTGGGAAAGAATCTGAATGTGTGATAACTGATTTCAGATCCCTTTTTTCCTAATCTGTGTTTATACAGGGCTACCTTCCCACCCATTTTACAGCTGGGGGAACTAAAGCCTCTGTGTTTTCTTTTTTCTAGTTGTATACAATATCTTTAATTTATGTATTTTTATGTAGTGCTGAGGATCGATATCAGTGCCTCACGCATAGTAGAGGAGCGCTCTACCCTGAGCCACAATCCCAGCCCTAAAGCCTCTTTATTTTCTAGTCAACTTTCCTCATGGACCAGCAGCTCCCCCTCCTCCAAATACACATCACTGTACAAAGACGCAAGAAGTGGCTGTTATAGAATTTCCAAGCTAGGAAGGGTTTAGGAGTAGCAATATGGGTTGGAAGTGGACTCCAGGGGAATTCGCCTTGACACTTCATTTTCCATTAAGCTCGCCACTTTTCCTTTTTGTTGCTTATCACAAACAGAAAAGCTCTTTACTAAAGATTCTTTTATTTACATTTACATGCGATTCAGAAAATATCAATTGTCTATATGAAAAATTATCAGGAAAGGGCTAAAATGTCTTCAAGCTACCACTTTATGTAGTTGCCCACACCCGCCTCCGCTCTCAGGCCAGGCAGCTCTGATCTCCCTCCCACAAAAAACAATCTCAGACCGCGAGTCACCTCCAAAACTCCTGTCCTCTGAAGCCCCACTAAAAATTAGGAAGTTCTGACGTGAAGGTAACTTAAATTCCCAGGATCCAGCTCCCTAAGAAAAGCATTTCCCTTTACGCCGGCGAATTTGTCACAGAGGGCGGGGCAGTAGTCAGCCCCCCGCCAAATCCAGGGGGAGGGGCGAAGGTCAGTAGCGGCTTCCTAAGGCTTGTACGACCTCGCCTGGCCTGCCACTCAAGTCCCGAACTTTTGTAGTACTGGTTAAAGTTTCACTTTGACCCGCCTCCATCACTCACCTGATTAGATGTTTATGAGTCAAAAGGCGGGGTCATGGGGTGTCGAGATTTTATTGGTTGAGACATATGCCTGTCAGCGCAGTGCCGCCCCGTGTTTCCTGGAGCTCTCTTTAATGGCTCCTTACCTCGTTCATCTTCAAGGCTTCTCTTTTAGTACTGGTTTGGGGATCCGCCTTTCCAGTCCTTCATTCGAACTCGTTGGAGATAGAGCCCCTAAAGACCCGCCTTTCTCCAGAGGATTGGCGGATGAATGCACATATAGCCCATCCTCGACGGTAGGCGGGTAATCGTGCTATTGGCTGAAGCCCCTGCCCCGGGGCTAGGAGGAGGAGGAGGGGCAGGAGGGTTTGGTTGAGCTGCAGCTGTTTGTCTGTTCGACACAGGCTCGGGCCCGACGGGGGAGACGGAGCCCCAGGTACCGAGCTGATGGAGCCCACAAGGGCAGAGGCGGAGGCACCCGGGAGATCAGAGCTGCCTGGCCTGAGAGCGGAGGCGGGTGTGGGCCTAAGCGAGGCGTTAGAGTGGCCCACTAGAGAGGGGAGAAGGGGGCCGGCCCCAGCAGGCCTAATGGGGGCGCTGAGGAGGGGATAGGGCGGGCCGGGAGCCCGAAGTTGGGGAGGCTCCTGGGTGCTGGGGGTCGGGTGCGGGAGGCCCAGAACCTCTGTGAGGGCAGCCGCAGGCCTCATTACCCATTAAGCAGTGCTGAAGAGGGAGGAGCTGGGGAAAGGGACGGGGCTGCGGGTGAGGTAAGCCCATTTGCCGGGAGGTGAGGAGGGGTCAACCCTGACGCCCGTCTCGGAGGGTAACCGAGGCTGGGTCTCAGGAGATATGTGTAATTGGAAGGCCTGAGAAGGGTTGGTTCTTAGCTGGGTGAGAGGCATTATTTTCAGGGAAAGTGGCTATTGTAAAGAGAACTGAGGGTGCGCTAGTGTTGAGTCGAGAGGGATTTGGGCTCACTGAGGGAGAACTGAGGCATTACTGATCAAGAAAACCAACGTAGTTTGAGCAAATGGAAGGAGAGCCTGGTGTCAGTTTGGGGAGCTTCTGGGAATGTGTTCAAGGGTGGGCTGGAGACTCTGGGTCTTGGAAATACTGACTCTTTTTGTTCTTTAGTGCTCAGATGTGGTAATCTGAATTTTTTTTTTTTTTTTGGTACTCCCAGGGTAGGAGTTAAGACAAATGTAAACTTTTTTCCCCCCTGACTGTTGGGCTGCTCCACCAAATAGCCCTTACTTTTTAGCTGGTTTAGACTGTAGTCTGTTTCTTCTGTTTCATATCTTGTGAAAGAGCTAAGAAGTTGGATTTGGGGGATGTTTTTATCTGTTGCTTTCCCATTTAATATGGCCTATACTGAATAGTATATTTTTTACCTAGAAGTGGGGAATGATTCATTATCTGCATGGAAAGGGGCTTTGAGCCTCCCAGCCATCAAAAGATCTTTTGATCATAGTTGGTGAAACTTTTGAGAGACTTAGATTTGGGTATTTCCCAGGCAGGTAATGGAGTTAACCAGTCCGGGAACTGTGAGGTGATATCACTGAGGAAGAGATTTGGGGAAGAGAAATTCCATTCCAGAAGGTTGGCATCACCTCTTGTTCTTTGTCTACTTCTTCAGGAGCCCAGGAATGCAATTAAAAAGTTGGGTCAAATGGTGAAGTATTTTATGAAGATGGATTACTAAGGCAAAGAAGTAGAGTGTCACCTCCCAGCCCCCTGGCTTTTTTTCCTTTTCTTTTTGCTGTACTGGGGTTTAGCTCAGGGATACTCCACAGTTGGGCTACACCCCCAACTCTCTTTATATTTTATTTGGAGATAGGGTCTGGCTAAGTTGCTGAGGCTGGCCTGCAACTTGTGATCCTCCTGACTCTACCTCCCAAGTAGCTGGGAATTTAGGCACACAGTACTGCACCCAGTCCATATATTTTTAATGGTCTCCTATAGATTGGAGCCTATGGATTTTCCCTTTGGGTACTTCCCCATCTTTCCCTTCTATACCAGTATATCTTATCACTACATTTTTTTTTAACTACCAAAGTAATATATACATATCTTAAAATATTTAAGTGCTATAAAGTATCAAAAATGTAAATTCTCCCACACATTATATTTCATTTAGGAAGGCCAGAGATCAGAGACAGCAGATCAGACTAATCTTTGTTTTGGGGATTTACCACCTAAGCAATTCTGTTTTCATGTTCTCACTAAATTCTGCTCTCATTCTTTCTAGTTTTCCCTTCTTGGATGATACTTTTATTTATTGTGCTCCTTTCACAGTTCATTTTATCTTCTATCCAATTCAGATAAGCAGAGGGTTGTACTGCTTGTTTGCATCATTGGGTTATCATTTTTCCTTCTTCCATATAAATACACAGCCCAGTTGTGCATTGGGATCCATGCCCAAATAGATGGACAAAGTATTTTTCCTTTTTTTAGGGAAGGAAAGAAATCTGAAGGTTAATCATTTTTTTTCCCTGGGGTTATTATTGTCATCTCTGCTACAAAGTGAAGCATTTGAGATTTCTGTCCTCTGGTATTCTTTGTATGTGGGCAGTATTTAACTGTCCCTTATCTCAGAAGATGGTGATGATTGCCTAAGAGGCTTTGGTATTTGACTTTCTATAGTGACCTGAGAAGTTCCCAAGTTTCTCTGGATTTGAAATTGGTTTCCTTAGATTCAGTACAGCTGGGGTATTTCATGATACCACCTTAATAATTGAATTTGACCTTACTAGCTTTAGAAGGCTTCTAATATGTTCAACCTTTTTACACTACCCAGTGGAAACCTCAGTTATTCCCCTACCACCATCACAGAACTTTTCTCACCTGAAAAACCAGTCCTAGAGAAAACTAGGGGTATGTGTGTGTATTAATCCTCTGTAGTCCTTGTCACTTATTAAACTTTGGTGGTATCCTGTTCTGTATGTTTCCCTTCCTCCCACCATCTTCTTAATCAGAGATTACTTTTAAGAAAGGTTCTGGGGTAGGGGGATTGCTCTATGGTAGAGTGCTTGCTTAGCATTTGAGAAGCCTTGGGTTGAATCTCAGCACCCAAAAAGAAAGAAGAGGTATGGAATTGCTCAAATTTAAAATGTAAATAGCACATAATCCCTAAAAATATTCTCCCATTGGCTTGTTCATCTTAAGAAAGTTAATGAGTGGAATTATCAACATGGTCTTTCAAACAAAAATATGTTTGGAGAAGAGGGTTTTTCTCTTGCCCTTGATCATATCTCAGTCTTTTAATGCTTACTTTTCCTGAGAACAAGGATTACTCTTATATAGTTTGTTTGTGTGCATTAATATGAATTTGACTTCTGAGAAGAAGGCATGCAGTAGAAGCAAGCATACAGCCCACTCCCTAATCCTAAAGCATTTCTGATTGGAAAGTAACCAAAATATGAGACCTTGAACTTAAGATAAGGAAATGCACCAGTCCTTTGGGAAAAAGGGTACCATAAAACCCTACACATTATATTCTTACTTCTCAAGAGTGTTTTAGGAAAGATTTAGTCATTGACTGTGAACAGTAACTAAGCTGAATAAGGAGCCACCCAGCTAAGCAGATTTCTGGGCCAGGCTGTAGCTTCAGTTTAGGGGTAGTGGGTACCTTTTCAAAGTGTCTCCTGGCTCTGTGGTGGTATGAATTTCTTTATAAAACTTACTTATCAAGTCCAGGAATTAATAGAGGTAATGACTCAAGCTTTTTAACTACTTAACATCAATCTTTAAAACAGGGAATTTTGTTTTTAGGCACAGCCACTTCAGTGTTAGGGTGAGAGTGCCACATACTGGTTGTGATTAGGCCATCTGAGACATGGTAACAGGAAAAGCAGTTAACCCATGTGAGTTACAACAGTACCTTTGTGGGCTGGGTCCCAAGGGGGCCCCCCATTCAAGGGAGATCACAAAGAGTCCAGGGAGAGACCTTTCTGAGGCCTATTAAAAACATTCCCTAGCCAGGCATAGTGGTATACACCTATAATTTCAGTGA